AATTGATTTGAGTTTGATATGTAATTCTATAGAATGTCCTGCCTACGTGTTATTTTTTCAGAAATGCTGCTTTGTGTTCCCTTTCAGTTGGTCACTTGGTATAACACACTATGGGGAGTCAACAACCAATCATATTCACCTGAAGAAATCACGCCCAACGGGCCAATGAATGCTGAGACCACCCTCGGAAGCCCCGCCTTCCTAGCTATAATACCAGGGCGTGCATTAATTTCCTAATTTCTTCGCTCTTCAGCTCGCCTGAAGGAAGAACGTGTCACGCAATTTACAAACTTTTCAAGCACACGAAGGCTACGAGATTCGGCTCCAACTTAGGTGTCTGTTAGTGGGGTGAGAGTACTCGTCCCCCTAGATATTGCAAGTTTTGGGTCTTGGTATTGGTTTTTGTGTTTGCTAAAAACCCACAACTTTCTTCTCTACTTGTGTAGCCAGTGCTTCCTTGCTTGAGTAAGATGGCCAGTGGTACGAGTAAGTTAAAAAATGCTAACCAGCTGAGTTTGAGCCTCTGACCTTGCCCTAGGGCATGTGGTTTCACAATGAAAATGAAAGATACTCACGAGTGCTGTGCTGTTTGCCTGGGGTGCAAACACGCTCATGTGACCATTGTCTCCGGCTGGGTTCAACTTCCATTGGGCGTCAGCTGACTTTGTGAGAAAGATTGGGGCTGCTGGCAAAGGGTCTTCCGGTGAAGCGATCTCAGAAATGGGGTTGTCTGAGGCCAGGTGAGAACAGCAGCGGTGGTCGGAGTTGATAGGAGTGTCATCCCAGCCCATGTAAGGGCTCATTCTGGTTTTTCTGTCAGTGTTCAGAGTCTGGATTCCGGGGATGATATACTATCCCTGGTTGGTTCTGGAGGGTTTTCAGAGTGTGAATTGGATGACATCATTTCTGGGCAGCCTAAAGCCCCAGCTTTGGATTCGGCAGGGGGAGAGGGAACCATTGGTGGTTAATTCGCCTTTGATGTAGCTGTGTGGTAGGGCGGCAGATCACCTGGGTGTCTTCTCCCCCGCAGAGGAGTTCCTCCAGGTTTGGGGAAAGGTATTTACCTCCTGTCCCTGCACTGGTGAAGCGTCGCTGACCCCTGTTTAAAGATTTTGCAGATGAGATAAAGGCGATCTGGGATTCCCCTCATTCAGCCAGGCTGGTGCTACCAGGTTATGGCGAGTTCATGAATGTATAGCAGCGTTCCCCAACTGGCAGCCCGTGGGTGGTCTTATTCGGCCCCCTAACTTTTCTGAGCAACGTGTTTCTCATTGTTGGATATAAAAGACTGTAAAAACACCAGGAAATCAGTTCCAAGTGATTTTAATTGTGATAATCTGTTCATATGCATAATAGAGAGACACGTGATCGTATAAAAATGTAAGCAATGTTTGAAATTATTATGTTTTAGTCAAATATTATATCTGCTTGGGCTTCTTGTGGTCAATTTGCAGTCTACACATTCTTTGTAATTATGTTCTGGCCCCCCGACTATCCGCTCAAGAAGAAAATCGGCCCGCGGCTGAATCTAATTGATGATCCCTGATGTAGAGGGTATTGGGGAGAAGGGCCTCATTTGCACACCGCCGAAGGATGGAAAGCTGGTGAGTTACTTACCTCCAGATGCTAACAAGGGGGCTAATCCTAGCACGGTGCTCCGAATATACAGTGCCGGTTCTCAGCGGATCACCAGGCTGAGGGTGTAGCGGACCGGTCGTTGAATGTGGTCACAATGCTGCAGATGTATCATATCGATTTGCTGCAGGAGCTGAATAAGACGAAATCCGTGCTATGGCTGTTTTTGTGCTGCATCTGTCCCGCGGTACTATCCTGGCTGTGGGGAAAAGTTACTGGTTGCCGAAGTCCCTGAACCCGGTGTGGGCCGGGTATCAGAGCGGCGGTACCATGAAAGCACATTGTTTCTACCCAAGGTTCCTTGGTGTTCAGGGGTATCGAGAGAAAGGTATCGTCCAGGTATGGGCATAATAAACACAGTTCCTTCCACACATTCAGACACACGGTTGTCAAGAGTGGTGGATCTGTAAACAACCATGACATAAAAGTCCCAGTCCTCATGGTGGCGCTCGGTCCTTTCAGGACATAATGTAGGGAGACTGGCAGAGTGCTCCGTCCAGTGGCGGGTTCCGGCATTACGGCTCTGTCTGGCACGGTTTCAGCTGGGGCACTCTGTGCCTTTTCGCTTGTGCCTGAGTGGTACTGAATTGAAGGAATGAATGCGAGCCCCGGTATTATAGCCAGGAAGGCGGAGCTTCCGAGGGTGGGCTTGGCATCCATTGGCCTTTTGGGCGTGATTTCAGTTTTCCTCTGGTGAATATGACTGGTCGTTGACTCCCCATAATATGTTATACCTCGTTCCCTCCTTCAGGGAATAGTAGTTATATTCATAACTATATGTTTTCCCTGCTTCCAGGTAACTGAGGAGACAAGTCGTATCCTAGCAACACTGGGCTACATGTGTTCGTGTCGAGGCATCATCAACGTGAAGGGGAAGGGAGAGCTCAAAACCTTCTTCGTACACACAGAGATGACCAGATCGCTGTCTCAAGGGACTGTGATGCCTTGAACATCATACACTGAACATTACACATACACACACGTGAACACACTTAAACTATACAAACAAATGTATCTACATACACACAAATAGACTTGCACGCACATACACACACATACGTGCATGCACAAATAGAGCACACACAAACATACGAGGACTTACACACACACACACACACACACACACACACACACACACACACACACACACACACACACACACACACACACACACACACACACACATACACACACACACGCAGAACTGCCTGCTGTAGTAGAATGCATCAAACTACAGACTTTGTTTACAACAGTAACTCCAGACCACTTAATCTGAACCAGACAGAATGGCAGACAGACAACATTTAGAGCAACAGACAGACAGACGGCTGTACATACAGTATTACCTGCTTCGTCCCTCCTTAGCTGGACACAGTAGTGGCTGAACTTCACAGGGTAACTTTGTCCCTAGATACTTAGGTCAGTTTTGCATTCCCCTCTCCCCTAATGGTTAAGGTTAGGATGTGTTTAGGGTAAGCTGATCCTAGATCTGTGCGCAAGGGCAATTTCTACCTGGAGTGGATTTCATTGACTGCCTGAGTGGTCAAGTGGTGCAGTGCAGAGACACAGATAGTCGGAGCCATCTTGGCACCAATAGTCTTTTCACTATTACAGTACTTTTAGTCAGAATTCTAATTAAAATGTGGTGCCAACATGAAGGATAGTTTGCCAAACTGTATAGCTAGCCTATCTCTATGGTTCTGGAGCAGAGAGCAACGTGGACCTCAAGAGCAGTCGGGGAGCTACTGGACTTTTGTAAGAAAATGAGAAAACGATATCAACAGGAGAATGTTTCCATGTTTTCATGCCATCATTTTCTTACTCATTAAAACATTTGTATATAAGTGAACCAATGTGCCTCCTGTCATTGAAAGTCAACTGTTTATGATTGCACTGAAAGTCTACTAAGTAGTTGGATAAAGAGGTAGTTTGATCAGATATTGTACTTTATTACGTATCTCACAAACATGTGGGCCATAATGTATACAGTTACAATCTTTGTATTCTAAAATATATAGTCAGATTGTATATTATATATAACCATATACAGTATATATACAGTATATATTTATCTATCTTTAAATATATAATCTCTCTTTGAATATAGCTCTATAGTCGTGGTCAAAAGTTTTGAGAATGACACAAATACAAATTTTCACAAAGTCTGCTGCCTCAGTTTTGATTATGGCAATTTGCATACACTCCAGAATGTCATGAAGAGTGATCAGATGAATTGCAATTAATTGCAAAGTCCCTCTTTGCCATGAAAATGAACTTTATCCCCAAAAAACATTTCCACTGCATTTCAGCCCTGCCACAAAAGGACCAGCTGCCATCATGTCAGTGATTCTCTCTTTAACACAGGTGAGAGTGTTGACGAGGACAAGGCTGGAGATCAGTCTGTCATGCTGATTGAGTCAGAATAACAGACTGGAAGCTTTAAAAGGAGGGTGGTGCTTGAAATCATTGTTCTTCCTCTGTTAACCATAGTTACCTGCAAGGAAACGCGTGCCGTCATCATTGCTTTGCACGAAAAGGGCTTCACAGGCAAGGATATTGCTGCTAGTAAGATTGCACCTAAATCAACCATTTATCGGATCATCAAGAACTTCAAGGAGAGAAGTTCAATTGTTGTGAAGAAGGCGTCAGGGCGCCCAAGAAAGTCCAACAAGCGCCAGGACCGTCTCCTAAAGTTGATTCAGCTGCGGGATCGGGGCACCACCAGTGCAGAGCTTGCTCAGGAATGGCAGCAGGGACAAACTGATATTCTGCAAAAGGTACAGGGATTGGACTGCTGAGGACTGGGGTAAAGTCATTTTCTCTGATGAATTGTTTGGGGCATCCGGAAAACACCTTGTCCGGAGAAGACAAGGTGAGCGCTACCATCAGTCCTGTGTCATGCCAACAGTAAAGCATCCTGAGACCATTCATGTGTGGGGTTGCTTCTCAGCCAAGGGAGTGGGCTCACTCACAATTTTGCCTAAGAACACAGCCATGAATAAAGAATGGTACCAACACATCCTCCGAGAGCAACTTCTCCCAACCATCCAAGAACAGTTTGGTGACGAACAATGCCTTTTCCAGCATGATGGAGCACCTTGCCATAAGGCAAAAGTGATAACTAAGTGGCTCGGGGAACAAAACATCGACATTTTGGGTCCATGGCCAGGAAACTCCCCAGACCTTAATCCCATTGAGAATTTGTGGTCAATCCTCAAGAGGCGGGTGGACAAACAAAAACCCACAAATTCTGACAAACTCCAAGCATTGATTATGCAAGAATGGGCTGCCATCAGTCAGGATGTGGCCCAGAAGTTAATTGACAGCATGCCAGGGCGGATTGCAGAGGTCTTGAAAAATAAGGGTCAACACTGCAAATATTTACTCTTTGCATAAACTTAATGTAATTGTCAATTAAAGCCTTTGACACTTATGGGATGCTTGTAATTATACTTCAGTATACCATAGTAACATCTGACAAAAATATCTCATAACACTGAAGCTTTTGACCACGACTGTATATCTATAATCATCTCTATCTTTAAATATCTTTACTACTCAGCACCACACTGACTGTATCAGTTGGGTGTGTTGTTCTGTCCATACATATTTACATTGATAAGACCACCACTTTCCTTTCCTCACTGCTCCCTCTGTCACACCCTGGCTCTGGGGACTCTATATGTTGAGCCAGGGTGTGTAGATTCCATGTGTTTATGTTCTGTGTGGGAGTTCTAGTTGTTGCTTTTCTATGTTGGCCAGAGTGGCTCCCAATCAGAGGCAACGAGTGTCAGCTGTTTCTGGTTGTCTCTGATTGGGAGCCATATTTAAACTGTCTGTTTCCCTTAATGTTTGTGGGATCTTGTTTCCGTTTGGTTTGTTTCTGTGTTAACCGTAGGACTGCACGTTTCGTTTATTGTTTTGTTGTTATATTATCACTAAAGATAATAAAGTTAAGTATGTTTGCAACTAACGCTGCGCATTGGTCTACTCTCTACGACGATCGTGACAGAAGATCCCACCTTACCAGGACCAAGCAGCGTGTCCAGGAGCAGGCAGCCTGGACGTGGGAGCAAATATTGGACGGGCAGGGGTCCTGGACCTGGGAGGAAATCCAGGCCGGGATGGATCGCCGTCCATGGAGTGAGACGGTAGAGGCGCGACGGAGAGAGGAGCAACGGCGTCAACAGTGTCGTCGTCGGACGGAGGAGAGGCAACCCCCAAAAAATTTTAGGGGGGGGGCACATTGCATGGACGACGGGGCTGCTGGAGGCAGATAAGGGGCGAATTCAGAAGGCCACCAGGTTACGGGAGCCATTGGTGAGAAGAGGGAAGGAAGATGTAGAGGCACGGCGAGAGGTACTGAGGTGTATTGCCAGTCCGGCCCGTTCCTGATCCCCGTTTAAGGCCAGTGGTGTGTGTTCCCAGTACGGTCCGGCCTGTTCCTGCCCCTCGCACCAAGCCTACGGTGTGCGTCGCCAGCCCGGCCCGGCCTGTTCCTGCCCCTCGCACCAAGCCTACGGTGTGCGTCGCCAGCCCGGCCCGGCCTGTTCCTGCTCCTCGCACCAAGCCTACGGTGCGCGTCGCCAGCCCAGCCCGGCCTGTTCCTGCCCCTCGCACCAAGCCTACGGTGCGCGTCGCCAGCCCGGCCCGGCCTGTTCCTGCCACTCGCACCAAGCCTACGGTGCGCGTCGCCAGCCCGGCCCGGCCTGTTCCTGCCACTCGCACCAAGCCTACGGTGCGCGTCGCCAGCCCGGCCCGGCCTGTTCCTGCTCCTCGCACCAAGCCTACGGTGCGCGTCGCCAGCCCGGCCCGGCCTGTTCCTGCCACTCGCACCAAGCCTACGGTGCGCGTCGCCAGCCCAGCCCGGCCTGTTCCTGCCCCTCGCACCAAGCCTACGGTGCGCGTCGCCAGCCCGGCCCGGCCTGTTCCTGCCACTCGCACCAAGCCTACGGTGCGCGTCGCCAGCCCGGCCCGGCCTGTTCCTGCCACTCGCACCAAGCCTACGGTGCGCGTCGCCAGCCCGGCCCGGCCTGTTCCTGCCACTCGCACCAAGCCAGGGGTGCGAGTCGTCAGCCTGGTAAGGCCCGTTCCTGCTCCACGCACCAAGCCAGTGGTGCGTATTGTCAGCCCGGTCCGACCCATTGCTGCTCCACGCACCAAACCAGGGGTGCGCATCGTCAGCCCGGTCCGTTCCTGCTCCACTCACCAAGCCAGGGGTGCGTATCGTCAGCCCGGTCCGGCCCGTTGCTGCTCCACGCACCAAGCCAGGGGTGCGCATCGTCAGCCCGGTCCGGTCCGTTCCTGCTCCACGCACCAAGCCAGGGGTGCGCGTCGTCAGTCCGGCACAACCCGTGCCTGGGTCACCGGTGCCTGATCAGGTACCGGTCAGCTGCTCCACAACGGAGCTTAAGCAATCCGCTCCTTCAATGTCCAGTCCAGCTCCAGCCAGCGGGGCCAGACCGGACCAGGGGCGCTACGGGGGGATTATTGAAGGGTGGTGGTCAAGCCCGGAGCCGGAACCGCCTCCGAGGAGGAATGCCCACCCAGCCCTCCCCTGTTTGGGTTTTGTTGAGGCGCGGTCGCAGTCCGCGCCTTTGGGGGGGGGGTACTGTCACACCCTGGCTCTGGGGACTCTATATGTTGAGCCAGGGTGTGTAGATTCCATGTGTTTATGTTCTGTGTGGGAGTTCTAGTTGTTGCTTTTCTATGTTGGCCAGAGTGGCTCCCAATCAGAGGCAACGAGTGTCAGCTGTTGCTGGTTGTCTCTGATTGGGAGCCATATTTAAACAGTCTGTTTCCCTTAATGTTTGTGGGATCTTGTTTCCGTTTGGTTTGTTTCTGTGTTAACCGTAGGACTGCACG